TTATAGGTCTCACGTTCGCGGAAGACTGGAATCGTGTGCTTCGCGTTCGAATGAGGTATTCCACGATCGCGTATAAGGAATAGGGTCCAAGTGGAATTTGCTCTCCGCGTCGGCATCAGAGGGCTCGCGTTCGCGTAGGTATGGGAAGTGGAAGCATCGTGTTCGCAGGGTATTGGTCGCGTTCGCATAGTGTTTTGTGGAGGTCTTGAAGATTTTCTCTTCGCAATCACGAGGCTTGTGCCGCGATTGCGATGAAGAAAGAACATAACTGGGCAGAATGCTTTTAAGTTATTTCATCCCTGATTTTGGGTCATTTTTCCTCCATAGTTGATCATTTTGAGAGATATTTTAGGGAGATTAAAGAGGGATTCTAGGAGAATCGATTGGAGGTAAGATTTTCGAACCTAAAACGTGATTCTCTTGTGAAATCAACCTAGAAAAATCATGGAACTAAATCTAATAATAGAAGAACTAGGGCTTGAGATTTTGAACTTTTGAATTGGGATTTGAAGGACTATTTGAGGTCGGATTTGAGAACTTTTGATATGTATGAACTCGTGGGAGGATAAGGAACCCGTTGATGTAAAAATTTTTGAGTTTCAAGAAGTGGGCTCGGGACTCGGGTTTTATTAATTTTTGGATTTTTGATATTTTCGATTGTTTTCACTTGGGCCTTGTTCCCTTATCATATTGTGATGCATTCGTTCTGATTTTGGATAGATTCAACGCGTGTGGAGTCCGATTCGAGAGGCAAAGGCATCGCGAGCTAAAGGTTTAGTCGGTTTGAGGTGAGTAATGAGTGTAAATAATATCCTGAGGGTTTGAAACCCCGGATTGCACATCGTAGTGCTATATTGAGGTGAGTGACGCGTTTGATGATGAGCGTGGGGTGATTTACTATTGGGGATTATGACTTGGTCCATCCCGATTGATGGTTTTACCGCATATTTGACTAAAACTCATTTGTTATCATCATGATTTGGGTTGATTGGCATATTTGGGCTTCGTGCCAACTATTTGAACCCTTCGGAGATTTTTATCACTATTTCCTCATTGCTTTGACTTATTACTTGAGCTCAGTCCTGTTGTTTTTCATTGTTTTACAACTCAGCCACTTTTACTTAGTTTTGAGACTTAAATGATATTCCTAAATGATATTTTGGGTTGAGTGCTGCTGAGGGCCAGATGTGAGGATACATTGGGTGATATGAGGTCGAGGGCTTGAGATACATATATACGCCACAAGGTGGCTTGAGTAATGTGCGACCGAGAGCCGAGAGTTGATGCCACGGGGTGGCTTGATATAGCGCTCAGGCCGTAAGGGGCCCCTTCGAAGTCTGCACACCCCCAGTGAGCGCGGCTACCCATTGTGATTTGAGAATGAGTCCGAGGGGCTGATATTGTTCTGAGAATGAGCTCGAGGGGCTGATACTGTTCTGAGTGATTGATACTGTGCCCGAGGGGCAGATTTCTACTTGTTATTTACCTGTCAAATTACTTGTTTAACTTGTTAAAAAAAGGTGTTTACGTGATTTCTTCATTGATTTACTGCTTTGGCATAGAATGTTTGTGTTTTTACGTGTTTTCTTGCTTTTAGCCATTATTTATAATTATTACTCACTGGATCGGAGTACTCACATTACTCTCTGCACCGTGTGTACAAATTCAGGCATAGCATATTCCTCTCCAGAGTGCTGATCCTCCCAGTCCAGGTGGTGTTTCGGAGACTACGAAGTAGCTGTTGGCGTCCACGGCCCCTGTGCCTCCCTTATCTTATTATTTCTATGTTCTTTAAACAATTGTACCGGATTTTGTATTTAGTAGACTTGTATCAGGATCATTAGTTGCTCATTACTTGTGACCCCGGTTAGGGCTGTATCGGGATGGTTTTTCCACTATTGTTATCTCTACTTCCGCGAATTATTGCTATTATATCATGTTTGAAACTGTCCTATGGTAATTAACTGCTTAAAGAGGTGTTCTGTGTTGGTCTGGCTGGCCTTGTCTTCGCGAGAGGCGCCATCACGACCGGGTTTGGGGTTAGGGTTGTGACACTTCCCCACGGGCTGGATTGGCCCTACTCAGTACTAAGTGACTGATGGTCAGTTGATGTATATATTCTGGTATGGATCTTCCCTGGGCCGAGTTGGCCATATCCAGTACTGAGTGATTGAGCATGATGAGTGAAAAGTGTGAGACTGTAAGACTAGGTACTCTGTGAGTGTGAGTATATGAGTTCATATCTGAGATACATTGCATTGATATGCACACATAACATACTAGCATGGAGATGTATTTTTCTCATGATGTATGGTATCACGTCATTTATGACTTCTCATACATGTTGACATATGGGCATAGAGACGTATTTTACACTTGCTATCTCGAAAAAAAAATGAAGCATCTTACTTATTATTGAAAGGATTTTCGGAAAAAGAATTGCATTTTTCAAACTTAATCATATTTTTGTCAACTCCGGTAAACGACTTGGGTTTTCACTGATATACTTGAAAGGCAGAACTATTTTTCAGGAATCATGATTATGCTGCGCATTTTATCTCTGAGTTATTTCTTCTATTACTTTTATGTTGTTATGGACTATTGTTGGCTATTGGTGTTGGACCCTAACTTTGTTCCTAGCTCGTCACACTTTCAACCTAAGGTTAGGCTTGTTACTTATTGAGTACATATGATCAGTTGTACTCATACTACACTTCTGCACCTTGCATACAGATGTTGGCTGTTGATGTTGCTGTGATCGACAGGATCCAAAGTTGAAGACGTACCTGCGTTCCGGTTGCATTTGCCTCTTGTTCATGGTAGCCTTAGCTTAATTTATAAAGCTTCGTTTATGTACTTTTCGAACATATGATGTATTTATTTCATACCAGCTTTGTAAATTATATTCATAGAAGCTCATGATTTGTACTACTAGGTCTTGGGGAATGTATAAGATTCAGGCGTTTTCTTTTAATTAATTGTCTTATTAAATTTTATTGGAATTAAATAGTTGTTAATTCGCTTATTACCTAGTGGGTTGAGTTTGGTGCCATCACAACTAATTGAATTTTGGGTTTATTATATATAATAATATTTTTTAAAGTGGCAGCCTTCAACTATTGAGGCCCAAATCAATTGCTTAAGTGGATTTTCCCTGGAGCCACCCTAAGCACAAGCAGGGGCGGATCTACGTAGAGCTTTGTAGGTGCTGGAGCACCCATTAATCCTGACGCGGAATATGTATAACTAAACCAAAAATACGACGAAGTCAATAAATTTATTAATAAGAAAGCATACATGTAACGAAACTTCAGGTGGTTGTTACTTTTTAAGGGACGGGTGCTGAAAGCTTGTGTTGATGTGGGGTGGCGAGAGATCGATCCTGTCATTCTACACTAATTTTATGTTCATTTACATTTTACAACTTATTGTCGTTGCTTTCAGCATACGACATATTTTTTGCCCCAAACTAGATCTTTTTTATTTCTTTTCTTTATAGACTTTATTGTTGGCTTCTTGATTTAGTTTTATTTACTTTTTCTTTTTCCATCTGATTGATTATAGCAAATAATGTAAAATATTAGTTTCCAAAAGACTCCAAGCCCTTCTTGAAATTTTATATGATTGTCAATTTGATATATAGTGCGTATGATATTTCCAAGTGTAAGCAATAATGCTATTATATTATTTTTTTCATAATATAAAAAGTTCAGTACAATTGTGGCTTGTGACCATAAGTTTTTTTTAATGATAATATTAAATGTAATTTTCTTACTTAGCGCTTTTATTGTCGTGTTCAAATAGTTGATCACTAATACAATGTGTTTTATATATAGTAATTAAAAAAATTAAAGCACGCACAACTTTAAAATCCTGGATGCACCACTGAACACAAGTTACACTGAACAGTTGGTTTAAATGAAACATTAAACTCTTGAAATTTATGAAACAATATTAGCAGCTGGCTACACTTGGTGGAGCTCTTAGTGAGCACCCTATTTAAGTTATAACTAGACAATTACTACTTGAGTTGAGAATGAATACATTTTCTCTATTTATAGTGTCATTATTTAAACTTTCTTTGGGGCGAATATTGAAAAATATATTAATGGAATACCAGACAAGTTATTAAGTTGGCGGCTATGCCATCTGTCTCAATTTATATGCTAAAGTTGGAATTTCGAGACTTAAAATTCTGATCGCCAATTCAAACATAAATTTATTATGTTTTGAAATAAAATTTACATATTCGGAAGCTATATAAAAAGTATACTATAAGTTACAATAATTAACAATGAAAAATATCACAAAATTATATGAAAAAATAGTACAAATTAATTAGCATATCATAAAATATTGCCAGTATTAGCCAACTAGCTATTTGTAACCACAAAAAAATAATCAAATCTTTGCTTTTTTTTTTGAGTAGGTATTGTTAGAATAGATTGGATACATCTTAAGAGTTTAAACATCAATTTTGGAATGATTTGGTAGAGTTTTGAGATGGTTTTAATTGAAAATTCGAAGTAGAAGATGAATATGGAAAAAATATTATGATATTTGTAACATAGTGTGTATCATTTGTGTGTTACATATGTATCAAATTTGTATCAAATATATATTACATGTAGATCTATGTATATTTATATTTGTGTGAGATATGTGTTTGATACATCCGTCCTAGACACTACTAGAAAACTAGTAAAATCCGTCCATAGAGTAACGATCAAAATTGGTCGGAAAAAAGCGACCGAAATCGATCGATATATTTATTTTTGTTGTCAGTCAAAGCGTTGAATTAACAGACCGACTTCGGTCGGAAAAATTGCGAATCATTATTTTTTCGACTAAATTAAAAGCGGTCAAAAATCGATCGGTTTTCCTCAAATTCCGACTAATATTCATGCTTTAATGCTTTATCGTTAAAATTCAGATTCTGTACCGCATGTGGCCTGGAGGGGCAGTTGTATAAATAACCCATATAAGAAGGGCTATTAATTAGTCAAAGTTAAACACGAGGCATAAATTGGCGCCAAACCCCCTACAACCTAAAATCGTCTGCTTCATTTGATCTCTATTCAAAATTTATAATACTATATTGAATATCAGTTACTTCAAAATGATTGTAAGTGCTACTACTGGTACATTTTTCTCCGTCGAAAATCATTCACCTGAATTTAGAGAAAGCGCGTCAAGAAAGCTAGGAGGAAGTCTTCTTTTTGTAGCAAATTCTAAGAAGTCTTTTTCTTGTAGCCTACAAGTTAAGGCTAACTCTCAAGCACCGCCGCATGTGAATGGATCAAACGTTTGCCTTAAGCACGATCACAGGCTCAATGTCGACCCTTTTGGACCAGGAAAACTCATGGAAGATGGCTTTGTTTTTCGTCAAAGTTTCAGCATCAGATCATATGAAATCGAGGCTGATAGGGTCGCGTCTATAGAAATGATGATGAATCTTTTGCAGGTTGGCATAGCTGCAAGAGAGAAACACTACTAGAAATCCAGAAAAACGCGACCAAAGTTGGTCGCTTACAGATCGAAAAGCGACCAAAAAGCGTCCAAACTGGCTTGGTCGCTATTTTGCTGGTCCCTTTACCTTAAAGATTAAAGTTGGTCGCTAACTGTCTTAAAGCTGGGTTGCACTTGTATCATATTATTATAATAATGTTTCATGAGATTGAGTTGGTTGTACTGCAGGAAACATCTCTAAATCACATGAAGAGCATAGGATTTATGGGGACTGGATTTGGGTCAACTCCAGAAATGTCCAAAAGAAATTTGATTTGGGTTGTCATGAAGATGCAGGTTTCGATTGATCGCTATCCTACTTGGTAAGTTTCTGCTCTTGATTTTATGGTTTTAGTCCCCCCAGTGGAGCTAAAGTAAAGTTCACTCTTAAGCCTCAAGGGTGTTATGTAGCCGACCCTACCCTACTCTAATGCAAGTATTAGTCGTTGTTTTTACAGCTCGAACCCTTAAGTTGGTTGAATATGGTGATTTTTTGTCTTATTCGAATCCTTAAGTTGGTTGAATATAGAATTTCTAGCTGATTCTTCTTATACCAAGATCTGTTGTGTCTACCAGAGGCGAAACCAGAATTTTGAGTATATGAATTCTGGAATACAGAACTTGATAAGTTACTGAGTTCAGGATTAATTGTTTACATATATTAACTAGATTTCTTAACACATACAGGATTTGAGCTGCAGCTACTGGCTTCTATCGAACCCGTGGCTAGACTTCTCATGGCACACTAGCTAATTACACATTTTCCTTTGCCATTTTACTCAGGGGCGACGCTATTAAAATAGACACTTGGATGGCTGCTTCAGGGAAGAATGGTACGCGGCGTGATTGGCTTGTCCGTGATAGTAATACAGGGGATATATTGATGAGAGCTTCCAGGTTTGAAGAAGCCTTCACTCTTAGTTCAGCTATTTTCAGCGGCAGAGCTAGAGTGTCGAGAGCGGGTTCAGTCAAATCCAGTAGCTTTGATTCGAACCCTGTATTTATTTTAAAAATCCATTAAATATATGTATATTATTAAACTAATAAGAAATCAGTAATTTAAAACGATTAGAATCTCGAACCCATAAGCTTGAAATCCTGACTCCGCGTCTTGCTATTTTGCCGCAAATGCTACAACGCTGTTATTGTATGTTTTATTATGTTTATATATGGTTATTTAATTTGCAGCTTATGGGTAATGATGAATAAGGAAACAAGGAAATTATCTAAAATACCAGATCAGGTTAAAACTGAAAGTGAAGTTACTTTTGTGGATTTGCCTCCGGTTCTTGATGGGGACAGCAGAAAGTTACCAAAACTTGACGAGATCACAGCAGACTATACTCGTACTGGTTTAACGGTAAGTAAAAATATCTCCATAAATGATATAGTGTCTTTGTAATGAAGTTATTTAATAACTGCTGGTTTATTAAATTTATAGCCAAAATGGAGTGATCTAGACGTGAACCAACATGTTAATAATGTCAAGTACATTGGCTGGATTCTTGAGGTACATCTCCTTTTTTTCTTATTTTTCCCTTCACCACATTCCCTTTAATAATGTCAATGAGTTATTGTCACGACCCGGAGTCTCAACTTTGAGATTATGATGGCGCCTAACATCTACTTGTTAGGCAAGCCAACGTAAAAAAAAATTAACTAAATTTAAAAAATTTTATGACAGGATAATAACGAAGAAAATGGTACAAGTCTGAAGCATAGTATGATAATACTGACATGCCCAGAAACTGGTGTCACGAGTACATAAACATCTAGATTGCTACAAACATGGTCTGAATAAAATTCACTGTTTTGAAACCCAGGAAAAATAGTAAAGATAGGAGGGAAGGTGATTTCAGGCCTGCGAACGCTGTGAATCTGTACCTTGAGTCTCCGTCAACAACTGGATCTGAGCAAATTAATCTATTGAACGCTACTAGGACCCACTCCAAAATCTGCACAAGAAGTGCTGAGCGTAGTATGAGTACAACCGACCCCGCATATTATGTAAGTGCCGAGCCTAACCTCGACGAAATAGTGACGAGGCTAAGGCGGGTCGAATATAATAACCTGTACGCAGAATAATAATAACAATAACAAGGAATGAAAACAAGAAATAAAAGTAAGACAATTAATTTATGAAAAAGAACTCAATCCTTGCATTCGTAGAACCTAGAATAACCGACCTCATAATTTCATGTAAAATGTTGGAAAACCAACACCATAACAACTACGAAAACAACATACACATATGTTGCGGCGCACAACTCGATCCGACCGTACACGCTCAATCCGCCCTTATTTTACCATAACTTCATTTATCAATATCAAGAATCATATATAAAATCGGTTGCGAAGCGCAACTTGATTTCACCATGTCATCATAATCAATGTCATAATCCTCTCTTATTTTATCATGTCTCAACTGTTGCAGCGTGCAACCCGATCCACAAATAATTTCAATACATATAATCAATCCAATAGCTCAATTCACGAGAATCTCTACGATTAAGGAATATGAAAGCAAAGAAATAAAAGAAACATATACTAATCAAAGGAATGCTACAAATAATACACTAGCAACAAGACAAGTCAAGTACGTGACAATTAAGGAGTGCAAGTAAGGCAATTAATTCAAGTAGCAATTAATTGCGGAGGCATGGAAGAGACGAACATTTCAATACAAGAATAATTATTGACAAGTAACAAATTACCGCATGGAAAAGCAATTAAAGCATGTAACAATTAAGGCATGGAGTAAAATGATTCATCAAATACGAGAAAGATATAGAAACAATTAATTTGATGACACATATACACTTGTCACCTTGCATATATGGCGTTTCACCCCTGAGCCTAATTATGTGATTAGTTTCAATATCCGACCTCAATTTGAGGTCTAAATTTCAATTTTATAAAAACTTCCAATTCTACCCAAATTCCTAATTTCTACCATGAAAGTTCATAGATTAAAGCTTAGAAATCAGAAGGTGTTAGTGGAAATGGACAAAAACAAGTTGAAATATGCTAACTTATGAAGTGGGGATGAAATTTCTCTTATAAATTTCTTTTAGGCCGAGCTCAATCATGGAAATTGTGAAAAAGGGGATAAATCCCGACTTTTGGAAGTTTTAAGACTAGGCTTCAGGTGTTCATCGCATTCACGAGACACCTGACACGATCGAGAAGCAGCAGTGGCCAAAGGCCTTCTCTTTTGCGAGCCACTCTTTGCATTTGAGAAGGTTTACTCCCACCTGCCTTCACGTTCGCAGTCCTTATATCGCGTTCGCAAAGAGTAACGGCTAATTTCCTTCCCAGGCCCTATAACTCTATGCGTTCGCAAGAGGCTGGTCGCATTTGCGAAGGGTAAACCCCCACTCCATCGCGTTCGCGATCATGCCATCCTGTTCGTGATGAAAACGTTCCGCCCCTATCTTAGTTTCCCCTTCTCGATCGTGAGAGTAACTTCGCATTCGCGAAGCACAAAAAGACATTCACCGGCAACAGCAAAACCAGTATGTGTCTAAGTCCACAAAAATATCTGTAGCCTATTCGAAACTTACCCGAGCCCCTCAGGCTCCGAATTGAATGTGCACACAAGTGTAATGACATCATACGAACTCGCTCGTATGATCAAAAATGCCAAAATAAGACCTAGAACTACGAATCTGACATCAAAATGTATGAGATTTTCAAAGAAGCTTAAGAACTTTCAATTTTACAACCGGATGTCCTAATCATGTCAAACCAACTCCATTTTGCACCAAATTTTGCAAATAAGTCATAAATAGTTAAATAAACCCATATCAAGTTCCGAAATCAAAATCCGACCGGTAGCAACAAAGTCAACCTATGGTCAATCTTAGAAATTCTCTAAGCCTTCAAATAACAAGTTTTAAACAAATCACGTTAAATCAAGTTAGGGACTTCTGAATTCGATTCCGGGCATAAGCCCCGAGTCTCAATTCACAAGACGAACCCATCGAAACTGTCAGAACACTGATCCGTGTCCGTTTACACAAAAATATTGACCATAGTCAACTCAAATCAATTTAAGGTTAAATTTCATATTTTTTAAAATTTTCACATAAAACTTTTCCCCAAAAAAACACAAACTACGCACGCAAATTGAGAAAGGCTAATGAAGCTATTCAAGATCTCGAAACACAGTAATGAAGGTTAAAGCTCAAAATGACCAAACGGGTCATCACATTCTCCAGCTCCAAAACAAACATTCATCCTCAAACGGACATAGAAAGGTACCTAGACTAGTGAAAAGGTGTGGGTATTTACTCTACATGTCAAACTCGGACTCCCACATGGCTGCCTTAATCAGTTGACCTCTCAATTGCATTGTGGCATAAGGATAACTTTTAAAACTCAACTTCCGGACCTGCCAGGCTATTATGACTACCAAGTCCTCCTCAAAAGTAAAATCCTTGTCCAATTGGACTGAGCTGAAATCTAACACATGGCACGGATCACCGTGATGCTTACGAAGCATGGACACATGGAACACCATATGGACTGCTGATAAACTAGGTAGAAATGCACGCATATAGGACACCTCACCCACTCTCTCAAGAATCTCAAAAGGTCCGATGTAGCTAGGGCTCAATTTGCCATTCTTTTAGAACCTTATCACACCCTTCACGGGTGAAACTTGGAGCAGAACCCTCTCTTCAACCATGAATGAACCAACGAACCCGCTGATCGACATAACTCATATGAACCAAATTGGTACCCAACAACCGAGCCTCCCAGCTCGAACCAACCAACTGGCGAACTGCACCGCCTCTTCTATAGTGTCCCATAGGGAGCCATCTAAATACTCGACTAGTAGCCGTTGTTGTACGCAAACTCTGCAAATGCCAAGAACTGATCCCAAGAACCCCCAAAATCCATAACACAAATGAAGCATAGCCTCCAATATCTGAATGGTGCGCTCGGGCTGTCTGTCTGTCTGAGGGTGGAATGTTGTGCTCAACTCAACCCCCATGGCAAACTCATGATGTACGTACCTCTAGAAGTGCGATGTGAACTACGTACCTTGATTAGAAATGATGGAAACTGGCACACCGTGAAGATGGACGATCTCGCAAATATAGATCTCAGCCAACCGCTTTGAAGAATAGGTAATTGCCACAGGAATTAAATGCGTCGACTTGGTCAACCTGTCCATAATGACCCATACTGCGTCGAACATCTTCTTGGTCCGTGGGAGCCCGAACAACGAAATCCATGGAAATATGCTGCCACATCCACTCAGGAATCTCAAGCTTCTGAAGCAAACCACCAGGCCTCTAATGCTCGTACTTTACTTGCTGACAATTCAGACACCGAGCTACATATGGAACTATATCCTTCTCCATTCTTCTCCACCAACAATGCTTCCGCAAGTCCTGATAAATTTTGGCGGCACCCTGATGAATGGATTACCGTGAAATATGGGCCTCCTTAAGAATGAACTCACAAAGCCCATCCACATTAGTTACACAAATAGGACCCTGCGTCCATAACACCCCATTATCTCCAATAGTAACATGTTTGTCACAATCGTGCCTTACCGTATCCTTAAGGACAAGCAAATGGGGGTTGTCATACTAGCACTCTCTGATGCGCTCATAAAGCCCATCTACTCAGGGCATCGGCCACCACCTTGGTCTTCCCAGGATGATACAAAATGGTGATATCATAGTCTTTCAACAGGTCCAACCACCTCCTCTATATCAAGATGAGATTCTTTTTCTTGAACAAATACTGTATACTCCGAAGATTTGTGAACACCTCACATGCTATGCCGTAGAGGTAATGCCTCCAAATTTTCAGCGCATGAACAATGGCTACCAACTCTAAGTCATGAATAGAGTAATTCTTCTTATGAACCTTCAGGTGTCGTGACGCGTACGGAATCACTCTTCCATCCTGCATCAATACTGTACCGAGCCTAATACGAGATGCATCAGAATACAGCGTGTAGGATCCTGAACCTATGCACAACACCAACACTAGAATCGTTGTCAAAGTAGTCTTGAGCTGCTGAACGCTCAACTTAAACTCATTAGACAACCTGAACGGAGGACCCTTCTAGGTCAATCTATTCAAAGGGGCTGCTATGGATGAAAACCCCTCCACGAACCCCGCCAAACCCAAGAAACTCTTAATCTCTATAGCTGAAATAGATCTAAGCCAGTTCTGAACTGCCTCAATCTTCTTAGGATCCACTCTTATGCCCTCGGCCGGTACAACATGCCCTAAAAAGGCAACTGAGCCTATAAAAAACTCATACTTAGAAAATTGTCATATAACTGACTATCTCTCAAAGTCTGAGGTATAATCCAAAGGTGCTGCTAATGTTTTCTCGAGTATGGGAGTAGATCAAGATATGATCAATGAATACAATCACAAAATAATCCAAGTAGGGATTGAATATCCGATTCATCAAATCCATAAATGCTGATGGGGGATTTGTCAACCTAAATGATATCACTAGGAACTCATAATGCCCAT